GACAGCTGTGCCAGAGCTTGTGACTGACCCAAGGTCAGATCAGCAGGTGCAAGTGGAGGAGTGGGGAATCAAACCCGGTTCTCCCAGATTAGAGTCCGTGCACTTAACCACTACACCAAACCACTACACCAAACAAGAGGTGCCCATCCCTTTTGTCTCATGCACTCTGAATTCTACACATTAACTACAGATTTACTACAGAAGAGGTGCTTTTGCAAATACAGAAGGGTTAGGGTTGCCAGCTCTGGGTTGGGAAATAGCTGGAGATTTTGGGGGTGGAGCCTAAAGATGAAGGCGGGGCTTGGGGAGGGGAGGGTCTTTAACAGGGTACAACGCCATGGAGTCCACCCTCTGAAGCAGCCATTTTCTCTAGGGGAACTGATTTCTGTCACCTGGAGATCAGTTGTAACAGCAGGAGATCTCCAGCCACCACCTGGAAGTTGAAAGAATGCGCTAAGCAACTATAAAGTGCAATATATTATCAAAAGTGAAATGAATCGACATATACAAAGGGGTATGACTCATATGATAGTTCATAGTTGTTAAAATCCATAGTTGTTAATGATGTTCTCTGGAATGACGTATCGTTTCATTGGGACTTCCTCTGAACAACAACAACGTGTCTTGTTATTAATACAACTTCCCATGGATGTCTCATAGACATACTCCTCTCCAAGAGTTGTATTTATTTATTTATTTATATTTATTTATGCCTTCAATTTATATACCGCTCAGACCCGAAGGTCTCTGAGCGGTTTACAGGGAAGTTTCAAATGCACTTTAATTCCTTAACTAAGGTCACATAGTAACGGGGTGGGGCTGCCTACTGGCACCCAGGTGGTGGGCTGGTTGTTGTTTCCTGGCTCCGGCATTCTTCCTTCAGATAGTCCTCGTGGTCGGTGTCCCATTTTTCTGGTGTCCTCCCGCTCGGCGGTCTCCTGGAGTGCGGCCCGTGTCAGTTCTAGCCCAGCCTACGTCCATATTCGGCTCCACCGCACCTGCGCCTCCACGCTACCGTGCACCTCCGTGACTCCGCCTCCTCCTTCACTGTCGGGTCTCACCACATGATGTTGCTGGCCACCAGGGATCGCCTCGCCATTGCTCCACCACTACTGCCGCCGTTGCCGCCGCTGATGCTCCACCACAAACCTCACAGAGGAGGGTGCCCCCTACCCTCTTAGGGCAGGTACCCATTTATCTACTTGCTTTTAAAATTACTTTTAGCTTTCGAACCGCTGGGTGAGCAGAAGCTAGGACTAGGGCCGGGAGCTCACCTGCGCCACTGCTCCATAGTTTTCAGACTGTGATCATATGATTCATACTTACCACTTTGTATATGTTGATTAATTTAACTTTTGATGATATATTGCACTTTATAGTTGTTTAACGCATTCTTTCAGTTTCCTTTGGGTCTTTAGATTTGGTCACGGCAACTGTTATCCATTCTCTGTATTACCACCTGGAAGTTGGCAACCCGAGGGAGGGATGTGTTATATATTGGGATGTATCCAAGTGAATCTGCACTTATGTTTCCCTTCGTAGCTAGTGGCTAAGAGGGAGCAGATTCTTCACTTTGGAAATTGAAACCACAGAGCTAGTCTGCCTTTTTTCCATCTTCTTGGAGCATGAGGTCGTTCTGAAAAACCCTGGAGGAGTGGTCATTCAGGAGCTGCCTGGGTCATAGCAGGATGAGTGGCTGGAACTCCTCAGTGTATCATGTAAGATCCTGACCATTTCTGCAGACCTTCATGGGGAATAAGAACCTCGTAAGAGTTAGGCTAGTTGGACCACAAATTATCAATCTTGCCTCTTGCTTTCATCTCTGGCTCTCAGAGTCTTGCAGTACCAGGTTCTGACTGGTTTAATCTCATATTGTGAAAGCTTATTCTTAGTCTATAGGCATCTTGTACAATCTGCCATCTGACAGCAATGTGGATTCTGTGAATTTAGACAGATTATGAGAGCGAGGACAGGAAGGGTTGCATCAGTGCTTAGTTCTTGTGGTCCTTTCTTACACACACAGGGAAATGCTGATCACCACTTTGGGGTCAGGGAGCAATTTTTCTCCAGGCTAGTTTGGCTGGAGATCCTGGAGATTTCTTGTCATCTTCTGGGCATGGAACAGCAGTCACTGGGATGTGTGGAGGGGGAGGTATTTGTGAATTTCCTGCATTGTGCAGGGGGGTTGGACTAGATGACCCTGGAGATCCCTTCAAACTCTATGAGTCTATTAAATCTTCCCATCTTCCTGTAACCTCTATGGCTTATTCAAACTTGATTCTGGAATGGTGGTTCTGGGACTTGAAAACCGATCAGTAAACAAACTTGAGAGTTATATAAGCAGGGTTCTGTCTATTTAAAGTTATACATCTTGCATTAATGAGGTCTGGTACCCCCTTCCCCATAGAAACCACAGGAAGAAAACATATCACAGGACAATAGGAGTCTTTATTTCTTTCTCCTTTTTAACAGCTCCTTGTTGTTCAGTTCAGGTCTCAGCAAAATAATGTAGCATTTGGGGAAAAAGATACAGCCCAGTAACCCAGCACTGGATGCTAAGACAGAGAAGATCTCCACAGCTACCATGTATTTCCCTTTGGTGCTCAGGTAGGTTGGAAAAAAGGACACCCAGACACTGCAAAACACAAGCATACTGAAGGTGATGAACTTGGCTTCATTAAAACTATCTGGCAACTTCCTGGCAAAGAAAGCCACAGTCAAGCTTATAAGGGACAGAAGTCCCATGTAGCCACGGATGACATAGAACATGAGGACAGATCCTTCATTACATTCAGCCACAATTTCCTCATTCATTGACTGTGTGTCAAAATCTGGGAAAGGAGGAGAGGTTACCAGCCATATCACACAAATCCCTGCTTGAATGAAGGGACAAGAAAGAACAATTATGTTGGTCATCCTTTTCCCCGTCCATTTCCTCCTCATGGACCCTGGCTGGGTGGACGTGAAGGCTATAACCACAGTGATGGTTTTAGCCAACACACAAGAGATAGCCACAGAGAAGATAATGCCAAAAGCTGATTGGCGGAGGAAGCAGGTCACTTTCATAGGCTGTCCGAGAAACAGCAAGGCACAGAGGAAGCAGAACAGGAGGGCAATGAGCAGAATGTAAGTGATTTCCCAGTTGTTGGCCTTGACTATGGGGGTATCTTTGTGCTTAATGAAAGTTGTGAGAACTGAAGCTGTGATCAGGAAACAAGACATAGCAATGGAAGCCAAACTGATCCCTAAGGGTTCTTCATAAGACAGAAAGCTAATTGTCTTGGGCACACATTGATCTTGGCTTTCACTTGGATACCGGTCTTCAGGACATTCAATACAGTTATCCATGTCTGAAAAAGAGAGGGGAAAAGGGGCAAATGCACAAATAAATTAGGACCAATGCTCATAATTGTACTGGATGACAGATTGGGCTAGGATTGACAGGTCCCCGCTGGCCACTGGAGGGGGATGAGGGGTCAAGTTTCCAGATCCAGATTGGGGAAATCCTAGAGATACGGGGTTGGAGCCTGGGGAGGACAAGAAGCTCCACTGGAGTATAATGCCATAGCGTCCACCCTTCTAGGCATCCATTTTCTCCGGGGGACTGATCTCATTAGTTTGGAGATGAGCTGTAATTCCAAGGGATCCCCAGGTTCCACCTAGAGGCTGGCATCCCAAGACTGGGCCTACCTTAGTTGTCTTGACCCATAAATGAAAATGCAGCTTTAGAAAGCATGGGGTTTGATTAGCAGCCAAGATTTCATACCCTGTTCACTCTAACGTTACATAAGAATGTAAGAATGGCCATGCTGGATCAGACTGAAGGCCTATCAAGTCAAGCATTCTGTTCACAAAGTGGCCACCCAGTTGCCTCTAGAAAGCCCACAAGCAGAATGTCTGCAGCTGCATCCTTTTGTCCATGCTCTCCAGCAACTAATATAAAGAGGCATATTTCCTCTGGTGGACGAAGTAGTAGATATCTGTCATGACTAGTAGCCTATTAGCCAACATGACAGTCTCTGACATCCTGTTCTCCCTAACATTATCTTATCTTTAGCAAATAGGAAGATGTTGCAGGTTGCTGGCTTAAGAGGTTGGTAAATTGTCACGTGACAAATGGCCATCTGAAATAACCCCGTCTATCAAAGTTGCAATATTCTACCTACCCTTCTGCCTTGAAATCTTCCCTTTGGGGCACGGAGAACAATCGTAACAGCAAAATTTCTTCCCTTCCTTCCTCTTCTTCTGAGAACCAGGTTGGCAGTGTGTGTTACACTCCGACAGAGGTGGGATCTACTCAAAATATGGACAAAAGAAGAGCAACAAGACATTCTTTGTTGTTATTTATTTTAAAATTTCAATTTCAATTTATTACAGGACTTTATGACCGAAGTCTTGACCAAGAGGATACCAAAGGGGGGTAAAATAGGTACATAAAATAGACATAAATATGTCAAGGTACATAATAACAGTCACATAAAACCCAGGCTGAGCCCAGAGATTAAAAATTACCTAACTACACTTGGGGCGGAGCCAACTAACTAAAATCATCCGAAGATTAAAAATCGGTGTCGAAGTTTTCAGAAGTGCTGGACTTTTCAATGCTTCTTGAGAGCAGCCACCTTAGCCAAGAACCGCGCCACGTTAGCTGTTATCAGTCCATCGGCATTTGAGTCAGATAACAGTACTGAGAGCACCCAAGGTTGCGCGGGAAGATTCATCTTCGTGAGAATAGGAGAGATATAAGTGCCTCTAACTTGAGTCCAGTGGGGACAGCGAAATATCAGGTGATCTAAGGTTTCAATTTCGCCAGAATTGCACAGACAAAGGCGATCTGAGTAAGAAAGGCCTCCAAATCTTCCCAGAGTTACCATTGTTGGAAATACATTTAAGCGGGCCAGCATAAAGGCGCGGCGGTGAGATGGAATTGATAACGTTGAATAAAAGTCAGGAAATCTCTCTGGAGGGGACAACCCCAAAGCCAACGGAGAGCAGGTGCGTCTTGCCCTGGCCACGGTGCTGGCCCAATCCAACTGTTTAAGTTTCTTCAAGGTTTCCTCAAGCTGAGAGGGCATCAGCTCTTCGTTAGGTGAGGACATCGGCACTCCCAATGTCCTGAGTTTACCAGCAAGAAGGGACAACCAAGGGTTGGATGTCGTGTCCTTTAAGATGGAACGAAGAAAGCCGGCCTGGGGGTGATGACTTGGGTCAGATAACTTAAATCTCAACTTGAATGCCCTCTTCCAAGCACGTGCTTCAAGCGAAGATTGAACCAGTTCCATACGAAGGACAGTCCCAGCAACACACCGTGGCGTTCCAGTAATTCTCCTAAGGAAGGAGTTTAGCTGGGAATCCAATTTCTCATCCACGCCAGCAATCCAGATTTCTACACCGTATAAAATTTGGGAGACCACCTTCGCATTGTACACCTCGATGGCCGGGGGAATCCGCTTAGCCCCCTTTGTACGGAAGAATTTCTCAACCAGTGCCGTGGCGAGTCTGGATGACTTCTTAACGTATGTCAGATGAGCGGACCAGGATAGATTGTAACTAAAAACAATACCTAGGTATCGGAAGGAGGAAACCCATTCTAGTTGGCCATTCCCAACTTTAAAATACAGAGGACCTCTTCTTCTCTTGACAGAGAAGCGAAGAACCTTGGACTTTGCATAATTCACGATAAGCTCTTCTTGTTTGCAATAGTCCAAAAAGGCATTGACAGTAGACCTCAGTCCAACTTCAGATGTTGCCAGCAAAACAGCATCGTCAGCATAAAGTAAAAGTGGTATAGGAAGACCAGCTAAATACGGAGGATGTCTGGCTCTCATTTTAAGAAACGGCACCAAATCATTAATATAGATGTTAAACAGGCAGGGGGCCAACAAACATCCCTGTCTAACTCCCTTCTGCACTGGAAAGGAGTCTGTCCTGACTCCTGAAGAATTCACTCGAACCGAGGCAGATGTTTTAGAATAGAGAGCCATAATCAATCCCAGTAGTCTGCGGTCAATATTGGTGTTCAATAACTTCTCCCACAATCTGCGACGAGAGATGGAGTCGAAGGCAGCCCTCAAATCCATGAAGGCCGCATAGAGACAACCTCTTGGACGCAAGGAATACTTGCTGGCAAGATGGAGAAGCGTCAGACAATGGTCTGTAGTAGCGACACCCTGTCGAAAGCCACACTGTTCAGGAAAAAGGAACCTCTCTTCATCAAGCCATTTCTGGAGTCTCTCCTGAAGGAGTGCAGAGTAGATCTTCCCAGGGGTAGCAATAAGGCTAATCGGTCTATAATTCCCTGGGTCGTTGGTATCCCCACCTTTGTGGATAGGTACCACAGTAAAATATAACACCTATCTTTCAGTGCACCAAAAACACACACACAACACCAATTAAAACATTAAAATAATTAAAAACAACATTTAAAATTGTAAAACAATTCAATAAAAACACATAAACCATTTGGCTCCACCCCCAAGCTATGGACCTGCTACTTTAGAGAGAGTGCAACCCCCTCCAGAACAGGAGTTAATCCATTTCCTAGGTCAGACCTTTCCCCCTGCTGGCAGTACCTCCATTTTGTGGGGGTTCAGTTTCAGCTTGTTAATCCTCATTCAGTCATCTATTATTGTACTAAAAGCAAACCATTGCAATGGCATTATATTGACTGTTGGGGGTTCAAACAGCTACAAGCACTTTTGGGATCACAGTACCATGAAGAGACTTGCTAGATACAGTTTTTCAAACCTTTTGAGGAAAATCTGGGGACCCAAATAAAGAAATGGATTACCCAAAGGAATTCCTTCTCCCACAGAAATGAGTACAGCGAATAGGTTGTGAGCTCAGTGTTTTCTATTAGTTATTCTCCATCTTACCATCTGAGCCACGAAGGTCGGGTAATGTAGCAAAGGAAAATTTTGGCCTGTGAATTTGTCATCCCAAGGATAGAGCAGCCCTTGGAATGTCTGCCTGCCCACCCGTACCTGGTCAAAGCTTGTTTGCCACACAATTAAGTCTTCATGTATGATCAATTCTTCCCCTTCTGGAATGGTGGGATCCAGTCTTCCAACTCTCGCTCTAAAAATGGATTTGTTTGGGAATGTGATGAGGTTTGTGATATCAAAGCCTTTCTCCACCTCCCTGTCGTTACTGAATGACACTCGTTCTCCTGCTGAGTTGTTAAAGGAATTGCGTTGAAGAAACAAATGCAGCTGGTTGAAAGAGAAAATACATAAATAGATTTTAATGTGATGTTGGATTCTTCATCCCCAAACATTTCCCCTCATTGTCACATTCCACATATTTCCTTCTGTTTCCCACTGAAAATGAAAACTATTTAGCACTGGTAGGAGCCCAAAATCTTTGACCTGTCTGGCCCCAGCTAGCCCGATCTCATATCCCTGACACTAATCAGGGTTTGCCCTGGTTAGCATCTGGATAGGAGATCACCAAGCAAGTCTAGGGTGTCTATGAAGAGGCATATCTTTCACCTTGAAAACCCTGGACACTTCCGCACTGTCATTTTTGTCACTTGTTTGTCCCTATTGCTTCAGGGTCCCCCCCCCATGTGTTTTGCTCTTTTTAGTAGTCCCAAAGAAGAAGAAGAAAAAGAGGAGATTGGATTTCTACCCCGCCCTTCACTTGGAGTCTCAGAGCGGCTTACAAACTTCTTTCCCTTCCCCTCCCCACAACAGACACCCTGTGAGGTGGGCGGGGCTGAGAGAACTCTGACACAAACTGCTCTTTTTCAAGGACAGCTCTGACGGAACTATGGCTTGCCCAAGGTCATCCAGCCAGGTGCAAGTGGAGGAGTGGGGAATCAAACCCGGTTCTCCCAGATTAGAGTCCGCACACTTAACCACTACACCAAACTGGCTCTTAGACGTTTGTCCTATAATAAAGTATGAAGAAGAAGAGGAGGAGGAGGAGATTGGATTTATACCCCGCCCTTCACTTGGAGTCTCAGAGCGGCTTACAAACTCCTTTCCCTTCCCCTCCCCACAACAGACACCCTGTGAGGTGGGCGGGGCTGAGAGAACTCTGACACAAACTGCTCTTTTTCAAGGACAGCTCTGACGGAACTATGGCTTGCCCAAGGTCATCCAGCCAGGTGCAAGTGGAGGAGTGGGGAATCAAACCCGGTTCTCCCAGATTAGAGTTCGCACACTTAACCACTACACCAAACTGGCACCAAAGGGAGCAAAACACATGTGAAAAAGGGGAGGGGACCCAGAGCAGTATGGAAAAACTAGTGACAAAGCTGACAGTTCTGGTTAGATCTCACCTAGGGTATTGTGTTCAGTTCGGGGCACCACAATTTAACAAGGATATAGACAAGCTGGAACGTGTCCAGAGGAGAACAACGGAGATGGTGAGGGGTCTGGAGACCAAGTCCTATGAGGAAAGGTTGAAGGAGTTGGGTATGTTTAGCTTGGAGAGGAGATGACTGAGAGGTGACATGATAACCATCTTCATGTACTTGAAGGGCTGTCCTATTGAGGATTGTGCAGAGTTGTTTCCTGTTGGCCCAGAAGGTCAGACCAGAACCAATGGGTTAAAATTAAATCAGAAGAGTTTTCAGCTAAACATTAGGAAGAACTTCCTGACAGTTTGAGCAGTTCCTCAGTGGAACAGGCTTCCTTGGGAGGTGGTGGGCTCTCCTTCTTTGGAGGTTTTCAGACAAAGGCCAGGTGGTCATATGATAGCAATGCAGATTCTGTGAACTCAGGCGGATCATGAGAGGGAGGGCAGGAAGGGTTGCCTCAGTGCTTAGTTCTTGTGGCCCTTTCTTATGTGCCCCGGGAAATGCTGATTGCCACTTTGGGGTCAGGAAGCAATTTTTTTCCAGGTCAGTTTGGCCGGGGATCCTGGCGGGTTTTTTTTGTCATCTTCTGGGCATGGAACAGTGGTCACTGTGGGCGTGGAGGGGGAGGTATTTGGGAATTTCCTGCATTGTGCAGTGGCGTTGGACTAGATGACCCTGGAAGTCCCTTCCAGCTTTATGATTGTATGAGGAAGTGGCCCCTGTGGGGTCACCGTAAGTCATCTGTGACTTGATGCCACTTTCCACCACCTCCACCACAGGGGGGTGCTTAAATTCAAGCGTAGAAGGAAACATGAACCCACAAAGCATTGTCCATGGACAATGTGTTCAACAACATTCCATCTGCTTCTCATGGAGGGTGTTGGCTTACCTTGCACTAATCTAGTCACTGAAAATAAAGCACAGCATAGCGAAGACATTACCTGCCAAGGTTGAAGATCTCGAAAGTCAGGTCTCCTGCCACTCCTTCTTGCTCTAAGCTTGGTTCTGGATGAATACATGGTGTGAAAAGCATATGCCACGGCATGGACAGCATTATAGATGCTATAGCTATTACCACCCATGTCCATTTCAAACACAGTCCTAGGAAGGTTTTCCAGCTTCTCCTCTCCACTACAAGCATCATTAACTTCTGTGGCCTCCTTGCTATTTACAAATGTACAGTCAAATGCTTGCTCCCAGAAGTACTTGTGAAAGTTATTTTCTTCTTTCCCGTAAAGTTTTATGTCTTGGAGAAACGTTTGGAAACCTGGAACTTCACGGGAGTGAATTGTGAAAGAGATTGCCCCATGGAAGAACATGAAATCCCCAAGCCTTTGGATGCCGTTTAAGGCAAAATCTATCTGGGCTGTCAAAATCCACACCTTGTAAAATGTAGGGTCAGCTGCCCGAGGCGTGAAAAAAAGAAGAATGTTCAGTAACAAAATTGTCCTTGAATCGCCATAGCAGATAATTGTGCTAACGTTTCTGTCTGTGAAATGCAGTTCTATGTTTGTGAGTCTCTCGGCAAAATCATTGTTTTTTTCCCATGATAATTTGTGGGGAATTCTTTCAGTGAAAGCCAAACAAATTCCATTCTGAGAAAGCAAGGGCTCCAAAGTCTGTATGAAACGTTCTCCACTGTTTTCCTTCACAGCCAAGAGTCCAACCCACGTCCATCTGAAATGGTGAAACAACTGAATAATGCCAGTGTAGTGATGGGCTTCATTTGGGACCATGCGGTAAAAGAGGAACTCTTCGATATCACTCTCCTCTGAGGCAAATGAACCGTACGTGAGCTAAGAGGAAATACACAGATAATTGAGAGATGAGTTAGGAAAAACCTGCTCATCAACAGGGAGATTTTGACCAACCCGAACAGAAAATTAACTACAGTCAGAAGGTTAACTATGGTCAGGGGTTTCACGAAATAATCGGAAAAGAAGGTGTCGGAGAGTGCCTCAGCACATCAGTCCCTGATAAGGACGTGAACCTCCCAGAAGAGTTTGCCAGTGTTTCCACTGCAAAGGATCATTCCAGCTAGCATTTTTGTTCACAGAAATTCTACTTATGGCATTGGTTATATCATTTTGAAGAGGCCTTTAAAAATAATTCTGCACAGCCACAGGTTTGGTGTGCTAGCTAGGTTCTGAGCTGATGCGGCCAGGTGAATCTATGCTGGGGTAACCTCAAGGCTAGATTACAGTAACACATTTTTTCATTCATCTGCCATTGAAGACAATGTGGAAACTTCCTGTGGTACAGAACATCGCAGCCTAATTGAACCTGGAAGGAACATGCATGTTACATCTCTCCTGTACTCACTCTAATCCCTGATTCAATTTATTACTCATACAGTCTCCCAGGGCCTAGGAGCCAGTTTGGTGTAGTGGTTAAGTGCGCGGACTCTAATTTGAGAGAACCGGGTTTGATTCCCCTCTGCTCCACATGCGGCTGCTGGTGTGATCTTGGGTCAGTTACAAGTTCTGTCAGAGCTGTTCTTTCAAGGACAGTTCTTGAAAGAGCTCTCTCAGCCTCACCCACCTCTTAGGGTGTCTGTTGTGGGGAAGGGGAAGCGAAAGGAGTTTGTAAGGTGCTCTGAGACTCTGAGTGAAGGGTGGGGTATAAATTCAATCTCTTCCTCTTCTATATAAATGGCAACCTGTTCCAATATGCCCCACAATGACATTTATAACTGAGCATTCTCTGTTGTGGTTCCCCAGGAAATAGCCAGCCTGAGAAGGTGTTTATTGTATTTATTACGTTGTTCCTATTTCACTGCTTTCAAATTTTTATAATCCAGTGATTGCATTGTTTACATTGTGTCTCATCCTGTTTTTATTGCATTGTTTTCTACTTTTGTAATCCTCCTTTAGTCCCAAGGAGAAAGGTGAACTCAAAGAAAAAAAGAAAAAAAGAAATATACTCTCTGCTCTGGTGCCCAAAGAGAGACCAGTGGCCAATCTCTGTCTTTACCCCTTGGCTGGCAGGCAGGGCTTTGATCGAAGTTGAGGCATAGATTTCACTCATGTGTGAGAGACAGTCCATACGTTTAGCTGACCAAGGGGAGATAAGACAGAGGTTTAATCCTCACCTACCCCTAAATTTACAAATGCACAAACATATCCCAAATGTCACATTTGCCCCTTCCCCAAAAAACTTGACCTACCTTATCACCTCCACACACCTCCACATACAGCCAGCTCAAGTCTGCCTATCTAAGTGAAAAATTTAAATCTGTTTAAAGTGAAATCTTTCTCCTGTCTGTCTAAAATTTGCTAAGGATGCTTCTTTGGGTGAGAGGTATAATCTATTGACAAATCTACCTCTATTAGGCGAGGGAAAACATTACAATCTATCTGTGTTTCCCATTAAAAACCAAAGTGCATAATGCATAGGAAAAAGAATTCTGATTGGTATAACAACTCTAACTCCAGTAGGGGAGTCATGTTATTCTACAGCAGCAAAACAAAGCAGAAGTCCAGTGGCAATTTAGAAGAAGAAGAAGAAGAGATTGGATTTATACCCCTCTGACACAAACTGCTCTTTCAGGAACAGCTGTGCCAGAGCTTGTGACTGACCCAAGGTCACATCAGCAGGTGCAAGTGGGGGAGTGGGGAATCAAACCTGGTTCTTCCAGATTAGAGTCCGCACACTAAACCACTACACCAAACTGGCTCTCTAACCACATTTATTCCAGTTTGAGCTCACATCTTCCCATTGGGGTAGAAAGAAAGACTGGATTAACTGAAGTTGTAGTTTAAATTCCTGGGAAATGGTTATGGAAAACAACTAAAAGAGCTAGATTTCAGTACAGTAGCACCTTAGAGAGCAACAAGATTTTAAAGGTACAAGCTTCTAAGAGTTAGCCTCCTTTTGGCTCTGACCGGGATAGCCCAGGTAAACCTGATCTCACCAGATCTTGGAAGCTAAGCAGGGCTGACCCCAGCAAGTACTTGGAAGGGAGACCTCCCAAGGAATACCAGGGCCGGGACACAGAGGCAGGCATATCAAGCTACCTCTCTGAAAATATCAAGCCCCAGCAGGGGTCACCAGAAGTCACCATGGGCTCCAAGCACACCACATGCGCACACAAAGACACAAATACTAAAAAAAAGGAATTAAAGCTCCGTTTGTTGGATGATATCTGAATTAGATGGTATCAGATGGTATCTGATGACGTATGTTTTCCTTGTCTAAAGCTTATACCCCCCCCCCCAAATCTTCTTGTTCTCTATGGTTCTACTGGACTCAAATCTCAATATTCTACTGCAGTCCAACATGGCTACCCTCCTGAAACTAATCCTTCTAAAAGTACCTTGTGCTACCTGGTCATACCTGACTACCCCCCAAGTTTATGAGCTACAGATGTGATCCCCCCCTGAAAATTCTCAGTCCTCCATGAGTGTAACCCACCTGAGGAATCTTGAAGAGATCCAAGATATTTGCCATGTGCAAGGAGCTCTCACGGTCAGGACCCCCAATGACAGCAATGAGGTTTTTCTGGGTGTCACATTTGTAGTTAGGGACGAGATCGTGTGATTTGAAAAGAAGCTCCAGAGTGGTCAGGTAGGTCATCTTCTCGTCATAGTAGTTCCCATAGATGTGGAACCCGAGGCTCACATTGGGCAAGATACTGGGGTTCTCATTGATCTCTTTTACAGCAAAGGCCAAGGCCAGGATGTGTTGGTAGAACTTCATAATGCTTCTGTAAACAGAGTCGAAGGTGCTTTTAGAGGACAACACAATAATTGACCATGTCCTTTCATTACAATATGGGTCCACTCACTCTCTGATCTGCTGAATATAATGCAAACGTTTATTAAAAGAAAATTACTTATTGGTGCTTCTGATCCAAGAAACACTTCCCTTTCCTACCCCCTCCCCAACATCATTTATGTGCACTTCGAATGTTATAACAATTAAATGACAGTCACTGCAATTAATTACAAGATGATACTATACACCCCCAAAAACTAAGTTTAATAACCAGTTCGTATAATCCTCTATGCTGGAAATGTTCAGAACATGTTGGCTCTTATCTACACTGTTGGTGGGACTGTTCCGCTTTAACCTTGTTCTGGGAGATGATCATTGTTAAAATCAAAATCATCACTGGTTGTGAAATTTCACTTACTCCAGAGTCGGTATTACTAAATATTTGGCCCGATTCCCAATTTGGAAATGAAAAAAACAGGAAATTAATTGTCACAGTATTAACAGTTGCTAAATTAACAATTGCAACAGTTTGGGAAAGTAGATGGAAACCATCAATACAAACCTGGCACCAAAAAACACAAACTAACAGGAAATTAATTGTCACAGTATTAACATCAATACAAACCTGGCACCAAAAAATACAAACCTTAGCACATTGTCCCTGACAAGGCAATTCTGTTAGAACTCTTAGGACCTAAACTGGAAGGTACATAATATTTCCAGTTCATACAACAACTTCTGACACATGGCCAGATATATTTGTGGCCCCAAATAGAAACTTTTTGGAGTGTCTTTCAATTCCATATTGGAACATTTCAGTTTTGGTCCTATTTTATTTAGTAAAATAAAATAAATATATGGCATCCATTCGGGGAATCCCTGTTCGGCCAGCCAAATCAGATTTGGGAATCTGATTCAGCTTTAGGCAGGCCGAAATAATGCCGAATAGGCATTATTCATGTTTTTTTCCGGTTCATCCAAAACGAATGTACATTCCTAGTTACTACTCCATGTATGGTTCCTGAGTATTTTTATCATATTCGTAAAGAGCGACGTCTTACCAGCAGCGCCCTGTGTCAACTCTGATCCAAAATGACTTAGTGCGGTGGCACTGCTGAATGTGTCCTTAAACTGCACTTTATTTTTATCGCCATCGAAGTGATGTTTTAAACGGATTTGTCTGTGTTTTAAATGATTTATTCTATTTTATCAATTGTAAAATGTATACTGTTTATCAGCTTTGTGGAAGCCGCCCTGAGCCCGCCTTGGCGGGGAGGGCGGGGTAAAAGTTAAATAAATAAATAATAAATAAATAAATAATACATATTTTATTTTATTTATTTATTTGTTAATTGCCTTACATGGGTTACAGGGACTCTGTTGCTTGTTATATTTTGCACTATTTGACCTCTGAAGAAGGCTCTTGTGAGCCGAAATGCGTCAGGTCATACACTATTCTCTTTTGTGTGTATTGGTAACTTTGTACATTTTATGAGGCTTTATTTGGGCCCCTACTAAGTTTTTATATGTCTTTGTAATAAACACTATTTTGTACACTTATTATGTTTTTAACTTTTGGCCCTCTATTAGTTTTCTAAACTTCCTTAGGAGGTTTGTGCTTTGTTGGTTTAGATTTTCTCCCCTCTTTTTTTGGGGTACCAAGAAAATCTGGGAATTTATAATAATGACAAAAATTACTGAGAGTATATAGTCAACAGACTTGACTAAGAACTCAACCCAGCTCTGGGATATGTGGATACCTGTTATGTTTTATTTGTTGGAGAATGATATTACTCCTCCAAACCCTGTATATGAAGAGATACAGTATGCTTAGTGTATAGCAAGATAACTTTTATTACCTTTTTATCGCCTATTGTTCACCTATAAATATTCAGTAATAAAATTTTATTTTAAAAAAATTATGATGTATCAGAACACCAGTCTTCACAGTGGGCCTTAACATACTTCCCAACCCTCCGTTGAACTGGCTTCCAGCCAAGTGCTCTGTCTCCCAAGAAAGCAAGTGTCACTGTCACTGTTTAAGAGCTATAGACCACTTAAATATTTTGGCCTTATTTGAAGGTACCCACGCATTACAGCCAGGGTGGTGGTTATGGTGGAGAAATGTACTCTCTTCTGGATTCATGAGCTTCAGCTCTTTTTTCTCCCCCAAAGTGCAAAACCCAAAGCGTATCAATTTGGCCAGGCTTGCTGGATCTTGTCAGATCTTAGAAGCTAAACAGAGTATGTGGTTAGTCGGTGGTTAGGAGTAGGTGATTAGCACGTAGATGGGTGATGACCTCCCAAAAGTCCAGGGCTGCTATGCAGCAGCAGGCAATTGCAAACCACCTCTCTTCCCCTCTTGCCTTGAAAACACTACGGGGTCTCCACAAGTCAGTCCCAGCTTGATGGTGCTTTCCACGAGGAAAATACAGAGATGATTCTCTGGTCTTGCTAGGCTAAGCAAAGTTTTTCTAGGAGAACTATCACCGTTGTTCCATAAGAAAAGCCAAGTCCTCCTTCATCTTACACTTCCTCCCACCTATTGTGCTTTTCATTCCTCCTGACCTTGTTTTTAATAATAATACAGTGTTAATCTTTAAAGTAGCAGCCTGAATAGTCCTGGTTAGCCCTATGTCACCTGAGTTTGGAAGCTAAGCAGGGTTGGTCACGGTCAATATTTGGATGGGAGACCACCAAGAAAGTCCAGGGTTACGACATCTTACTAGAGGCATGCCATAGCAATCCACTTGGGTTCATCTGTTGCCTTGCTGACCCCATTTTCCTGGGGTCACCATGAGCTGCTTGTGACTTGACAGCCCACAATTGTTGATCTTATTTTGCCACTGTTTATTTTTATTGCAACGCACTACCCGCTGTAAGCATGGGGCTACTGCCTTAGACCACTGTGGGATGGACAGAACCAACAATTGGGGTTTTACAACCTGGCCATGCTGCCATGATGTAAGGGGTGGGGGAAGAAGTCTTACTCTGGAGCTTTAAACAAGTCCCACGATGGAAGTTCTTTGAACAGTGCTTCAAAGTATTGATAATAGAACTGAGAAATTATCCCACCGATTAGGAGGTCCCCTGACTGATACCACTGATGCGGGACAAGGAGTGGATTGTTTGCAGGATACTTTGCACCGTCTATTTGGTACACAACCGAGGACAGCAGCAGCAGCAACACAACAAGGCCCACCATCCTGGCAGGGAAGCTTGTCTCTAAGCACAGACCCTCCTGTGTCAGCCTGCAGCGTCACCCTGTCTTAGACAGGCAACTAACACTCTCAATACAGTACTTAATGGAAGAAACATGAGTCTTCTTTTTGCTTCCGCCTGGTTACAAATGCATGCCTCGAAGGCCACCACACTTTGCAATCTCTCTCACAACAAATCTGACCCGTAATCACAAGCTGCTGCTAAAGAGCGAACCAACAGAGCCCCGCCTAGTCCTATCCACCTGCTCTCAATAGCAAAAGCGGAGCCAAATATAAAAAGCACTTGCAAGCTTGTTTATTGATGGGTTTCTACCGCCTTTTGAAAAGCCACTAGAGCTTTAGTTGATGGAGAGAGAAAAAAATTACAATGATTTGAATAAGTCCAAGGGGAGATCATTGTCTCTGGCAGGCTTTGCTCTGGGGAGCACCACTATTGACAAATGTGGACTCTCCCCCGCCCCCATTTTTGAGCAAAAGTCACTTCTGCTCCTTAATGGAGGCAACACCTTAAAGGACAACGAGAATGATAAAAGGGTTGGAACACTTTCCCAATGAGAAAAGGTTAAAGTGCTTTGGGCTCTTTAGCTTGGAGAAACGACGACTGAAGGGTGACATGATTGAGGTTTATAAGATTATGCATGTGATAGAGCAGGTTGAGAATGAAGTACTTTTCTCCCTTTCTCACAATACAAGAATTCGTGGGCATTCCATGAAATTGCTAAGTAGTCGGGTTAGAACAGATAAAAGAAAGTACTTCTTCAGCCAAAGAGTGATTAACACATGGAATTCACTGCCACAGGAGGTGGCGGCGGCTACAAGCATGGACAGCTTCAAGAGGGAATTAGATAAGCACATGGAGCAGAGGTCCATCAGTGACTATTAGCCACAAGGTATAGATAGAAAGGCTTGGACTACCTGAGCTAAGACAAAAATGTGTGAGCTGGAGGCTAGGAAACTGTGAGCTAGCTCACACTAACTCGTTTTAGGGGGAACACTGCTGACAGTCCGACTCATGAATGAGGTAATAATAATAATAATATCTTTCAATTTATTAATCACTCAATCCTGCAGAGCTGCTGGCTCTGAGCGATTTACAGTTACTCGTATACACACAGGACTAACAATGATTCATAGGGGGTAAGGGAGGACAACATATAAATCTTTTAAGTACGCACACGTTTGCAGCCGACGGGGATTTTGTTCAGCTGTAGCCTCAGACGTGTTCCAGACGGCATTCACTCGGCTTGACTTGATGATGTCAGTTCTTCCAGGACTGCTTCAAGTCTCAGCGCCACACTGCCACTGCCTGGCCAGATTGGCTCATCACAGGCTTCTTAATGCCGAAGAGATCTTTCCAGGCTTCCGAGCTTCCGAGCTGGACATTGCATTTCGCTGGCTAACACCTCCCCCCACAGGGGGGGTAGTGTGCCCACCCTCTCTAAGGAGCGGTACCCATTTTATCTACTCGCCGAAGCTTTCGAACCGCTGGGTGGACGGCGAGCTGGGGACAAGGCTGGTAGCTCACACCAGCGCGGGCTAGAACTGACAGCAGTTCTGTTCAGTTCAGATGTTACTGTAACCAGAGGATAAATCCTCTGTGCCACCGGTCCCCTTATGTTCTTATGTTCTTATTAATGGGATGACAAAAGAAGTGGGGCAGAGACTTCTATGGGGAGGTACAACAACAGGGTGGGGTTTGAAGAGGGGAGGGACCTCAGCAGGGGATGGAATTAGAGATAGGCATGGACTGGACCACAGACC